TACTAGCCAGACTCATGCGGTTACGAAGACTATGCTTCTGTCATTTGTTACTTCAAAGTATTGTCACGTAATTTTCATATAAAAGAAGACTTCGAAAAAGACCAGGCCCCTCTAGTGATCTCGCCTGTTCTTTAAAAAGTACATATTATTATCTGACTTGTGTCGGTTTGTTTGTAGCTAAGCACAAAGCTACACAATGGGCTATCTATGCTATGCCCTGTTTCTAGGGTTGTAAGTTGGCAGACACACCGCTGTGCCACTAGGGGGCCTATTTTGTGTCATGAAATAAAACTATAAATGCGCAAGATAAAGAAATGATAATCAAGTATATTGGTTATATAACAAATAAATGAGCCACGTAGTAAACAACAAATGCGCTCAAATGGTAAATAAATATATAAATGGGCTATGTAATAAACGTGTAATTATTTCGCATAATAAACACACATATGGGGCATATAGTAAACACTTAAATGACCATGTAATAACAAACACAAATTGGTCGCATGCTAAATAACTAAATGGCCCATGTAGTAAACACACAAATGGGTCAAGACATGGTAAATAAGACACGAACCACATGGTAAAGAAACAAAGACAGGTCGCTTATCTACCATACTTAATAACCCACTAAATATAATATTAATTGTATGTTTGTATATCTATACATACCTTTGTACTCTTTCATTCTGAAGGATATTTAAAACTGTCTATATTCGTAGTAACAGAGCAGCTTATATTGGACCTACTAAGGACTACGACGTCACTCCTACAGTCCCGTAAGCTCAGTGATAGTGATTATTGCTTACTGGTTTTAAACAGAACAGCTTATACTGGACATCAAAACCCACGCCTGGACTACGGCGTCACTCCTACTGTACCGTAAACTCAGTGATAATGACTATTGCCCACTGTGATTTTAAACAGAACAGCTTATACTGGACATCAAAACCCACGCCTGGACTACGGCATCACTCCTACTGTACCGTAAACTCAGTGATAATGACTATTGCCCACTATAATTTTAAACAGAACAGCTTATACTGGACATCAAAACCCACGCCTGGACTACGGCGTCACTCCTACTGTACCGTAAACTCAGTGATAATGACTATTGCCCACTGTGATTTTAAACAGAACAGCTTATACTGGACATCAAAACCCACGCCTGGACTACAGTGTCACTCCTACTGTACCGTAAACTCAGTGATAATGACTATTGCCCACTGTGATTTTAAACAGAACAGCTTATACTGGACATCAAAACCCACGCCTGGACAACGGCGTCACTCCTACTGTACCGTAAACTCAGTGATAATGACTATTGCCCACTGTGATTTTAAACAGAACAGCTTATACTGGACATCAAAACCCACGCCTAGACAACGGCGTCACTCCTACTGTACCGTAAACTCAGTGATATGACTATTGCCCACTGTGATTTTAAACAGAACACTTATACTGGACATCAAAACCCACGCCTGGACTACGGTATCACTCCTACTGTATCGTAAACTCAGAGATAGTGATTATTGCCCACTGTAGACAAAAAACCACGCCTGGACCTGCTAAGGACTACAGTGTCACTTCTGCAGCTCAGTGATAGTGATTTTTGTGTATATATATATACATTTGGCACTGCGAGTTGTTTGACGTTTTCTACCTTTTCTGTTGATTTGTTTCTATTTTCCACACATCCTCGCGAAATAAAAACCATATCTAATCAGTTAAAAAAAAACAACAGCTTTAAATAACTGTAATACACCAACGCGTTTTTAATGCATCTGTTCAAAGTGCGATTGCGTATGTCAAGCTGTTTAACGTGAAGCCTAGTTTCCACTTACCCTCGTTTCTAGTTTGCTAGTAATTCCACGCACAACAGTCAAGGTCTGGCTCGGGTAAGTAGGTAACCCTTGTTCAATGTAGCAACAAGCTGTTCCTCACACATCATGACAGTGCACAATAAAATACTAAATGAAAAAATCACCACTCCCAAAGTTACATGTCTCTAATAATAATATTGCCACAATCAACAATTTACACAAACACATAACTGGATATTTTCCTTGTGCCAGATAAATTTTAAACCTGAGCCAATATAATTTGTAGGTCTTATACTAAACTTACAGTAAAAGCCTACATACAGTGTAGTAACTAGCTTCTAAAAAACTTTACTGTCCCTCGACGAATGCAAGTTGAAAAAATATTTCTATACTGACCTTTGGAGTTTCTTGTAAGTAAAAATCTCGCTTCTTGTTCGAAATACTTCTAGTGTTACGTATCATTTGTTGTAACAAGAGTAACTGAAATACGTAGATTTCCAAACAACTATAAGTAGAAGCTAGTGAGGTGTGGCAAACTTATAAGATTACATAGTTACTATTTGATATTTTTATGAGGAGAACAATGATTCAGCTGATGTATCAGTGTGTGGCGTCATAATTTTATATACATTTATGTATGTTTATATTAAAATAACATGTTATAAGCTTATAGATACAGTAGAAACGCCTCCAGTGTAAGCTTCAGGACTTACAAATAACATTAGAATTCGGGGTTCGATCCTCGTGGCGGACACGGCGCAGACAGCCAATTGTGCAGATTTGCGCTGAAACAAAGTACTAAAGAAAAATGGCTAAATTAACCCTTCTGCATTTTTTGTAAATGTGGCTTAGTCTAACATATTTTAGAATTCATTTTCAAAATTTCCTGAGTGAATGTTAACATCTCTACTTTTAAACTAGAGGACAGTTTTCATGGTGAAGGCACATCTCTCAAAAATAGTTTCTGTCAGAAAAAAGAAAAACTGAAAATGCTCGAACAATTAATCAAGCATGGAGTTGGCTTAGACGTCTACAACTTTCACTTGACTTTCTGATGCCAAGGATTTCTGGAAATGGTTTAAACATCAACTTTCACTCTGACCTTCTAATGACCATGATATCTGGGAGGGGTTGGTTTAGGCATCAACTTTTACTCTGTACGTTAGAGTTTTAGTCCTAACAACCATCAAAAGGAATGCGATTACTTTATTTAAAAACAATCTAAAGAATAAAACTACTGAGCAGTTGATATAACGATATTTCATAAGAAATATATAAAAGGAACTATTCCAGTCGTTTTCTAATTACTAATAAGCAACTACCTTTTATCACTATCACATTCTTGCCATAATATATTAATTACCAATTAGTCTGCACTCTACATTTCGACTGCTTATCTGCTTCTGTCTCCAGGTAAATCTTCAGAAGAACTGTATGTCGTGGCCGATTCAATCCCGGATCTTCTTGTTAAAAAGGCAGGTGTGCAATCTACTTTTCCGGACTCTTACTCCAGTAATAGTAGTAATAAACTAAGTTAGTAAGTAATTTTTAGAATAGGGTACTAAATGTGACAACGTTTTATATCCGGTCGTCATAACCTTACTGGAAGTACTGAACTGTTTCAAGTTTGGACTTTTTTTGTATTATCTAAGCATATGTAATCATATATTAAACACATGGTTAAGTTACTCGGTTTCGAATTTACAACACATCACCGAAGATGCGTTTCTAAAGAAGTCGTTATTATTTACCACTGAAGGCCAGGAGAAGAGGGAATTATGGGTGAGGTAAGATTTCTGTGCAGGCAAATCACAGGTAAGTCACTTTTCTGGGCACGGTAAAAAAAGGATAATGTCTCAGGATACAAAATACAAATACATTACTACTCTTCTGAAATGGAACAAATGACAGAACTTTCTATTACATTTGGCTCTTTAATTTAACTCATAACATAAGTAAGTGAATATCTGAAATATACTGATGGTTATGTTTATACGTACTTTTATCTCAAGTGATATGCATAAAGCAAAAACAGCTTAAACATATAAAATATTCCTGAATCTGCTTGTAATGCTTATATCTTTAGATATGTATTTAGGGTCATTGTAAAAATAAAGCTATGCCCACCCCGGTGTAATCAAATCCTGGATTTTAGTATTGGAAACCCATAGACATACCGCTGTCCCACCGGCCCCCCAATGGCACAGCGATATGTCTGCGGACTTACAACGCTAAAAGCCGGGTTTTGATACCCGTGATGGGCAGAGCATAGATGGCCCATTGTGTAGCTTTGTGCTTAACTTCAAACACACACACACACGCTGTCCCATCGAGGGATTTTTTTGTTATCGCTTTAATTCATAATGACCCAATTTTTTTTCATACGACTTTTTACATAGTCAAAGTTGTTTTTGTTTTTATCCTGTAGAACAGTTTTGCATTTTATGGCAACTTGTTTCATATATTTCTATAGATATTATTTGTAATTGATAATACTTGTTTCCTATGTTAATTCCAACATTAAATAATTTTCAGAACAGTCTATCACTACTCCGTATGGAACTTAAGATACACATCTGATAGAATTTATTAAATGTTGCAGTTTTTAAGGGTAAATGAGTGTTTATTGTAATTATTTATTTATTAACACAATATAGAAGTAGCCTATATCAAATGTTTATTTGTTATAGGCTATTTCTGTATTGTGTTAATAAATTACAATCTATTCTTTCTAGGCCGTTGATAAAATTATTTATAAAGTTCTCACTTATCATTCTGTTAGTTATACTTTTAGTCTTCGTATTCTTTATGTGCATGAAAATGAAGTTAGAGAAATGATAAATAATGTAAGGTGTGCTTGTACCTTCTACAGTTAACATTTTAGGCATCGTTTTAAAAGATATGGTCAATTAATGTTGTGGATGACCAATGGCCAAATTTATGAATCTGTGAAAAGGGGTTATAACTGTTGAGCCTGGAAAATACATTTTCAAGTCCAATATCTTGTTTGATATCCCTTGCCATTCAGATTATTTATTATATCAATAATAAATATCTTAAGACAATTGTATGGAGAGTGTTATTAGTGTTATAAACATACTTACACAGAGAAGAACTGTTATGAAATATATTTCCACAAACTAATTTTACACATGACAGTATGTCATTTTTAATTACCATATTTCTTGAGGAGGGGGAGGGGTGCTTTTCTGAACACAGAATTAAAGGATGGAACACCTTTCCGTGTAGAGAAATCGACAGGATCATTTTTCTGTGCGGATGATTTTCAAAATTCCACAGTCTACCCCTACCCTCCGCTCCTTGAGGGGGAAAAAATGACCGATCCCTAAAGTTAATCTGCAACTCTATAGTAATGGTACGAAGTGACGAAAACCGATGAAACTTAGAAAGGTTATGTGTTAAATATTATACATCAAATGGTAAATAGTTTACGTCAACGTCTATCTTCCGCTAAGTTATGCCTTCATTATGACGTTTCCATTCTTTATCCAAATATAAGCATTTTAATTAAACTACTTATAGAGTTTATACTTTTACTGGTTTCTATTATAGATGAACAGGTGAACTGCCAGTGATAACCGTTACAATTTTAAACTCTTTCGATGACAACTAGTTTCTGTTGTAATACAGATAAACAGAGCAATTACCAGTAACATCAGCTACAACTTCAAACCTGTACAGTGATTATCAGGTTATGTTATAATACAGATAGAGTAACTGTCAGTAACATAGGTTACAACTTCAAACCTGTACAGTGATTATCAGGTTATGTTATAATACAGGTACAGTAACTGTCAGTAACATAGGTTACAACTTCAAACCTGTACAGTGATTATCAGGTTATGTTATAATACAGATAGAGTAACTGTCAGTAACACAGGTTACAACTTCAAACCTGTACAGTGATTATCAGGTTATGTTTTAATACAGATAGAGTAACTGTCAGTAACATAGGTTACAACTTCAAACCTGTACAGTGATTATCAGGTTATGTTTTAATACAGATAGAGTAACTATCAGTAACATAGGTTACAACTTCAAACCTGTACAGTGATTATCAGGTTCTGTTATAATACAGATAGAGTAACTGTCAGTAACATAGGTTACAACTTCAAACCTGTACAGTGATTATCAGGTTATGTTTTAATGCAGATAGAGTAACTGTCAGTAACATCGGCTACAACTTCAAACCTGTACAGTGATTATCAGGTTCTGTTTTAATACAGATAGAGTAACTGTCAGTAACATAGGTTACAACTTCAAACCTGTACAGTGATTATCAGGTTATGTTTTAATGCAGATAGAGTAACTGTCAGTAACATAGGTTACAACTTCAAATCTGTACAGTGATTATCAGGTTATGTTATAATACAGATAGAGTAACTGTCAGTAACATAGGTTACAACTTCAAACCTGTACAGTGATTATCAGGTTCTGTTATAATACAGATAGAGTAACTGTCAGTAACATAGGTTACAACTTCAAACCTGTACAGTGATTATCAGGTTATGTTTTAATACAGATAGAGTAACTGTCAGTAACATAGGTTACAACTTCAAACTTGTACGGTGATTGCCGTTTTCTGTTATAATACAGATAAACAGATGAACTGCCGGTAACAAAGTTATAACATCAAACAGATGCTAGAATTTGAGATTATGTCGGTTATCTCGTACTGGTAACTAATTAAACGTATCAGATAAACAAAACAACGTACCTCTAATATCCACTTCGTTTTTTGTACCTGATAACGTAAAAATGAATAAATCAACATACCTCTAGCATTCACTGAGTATGACAAGTTAATGAAATGGGCAACATTCAACCATCTAAGACAAGTCAAACATGAACAATTTATATCCGCTCTACACTTCCTGGGCCAACACCCTCTTCCGCCTTACTTTTACAGACTTTGACATAATAACGTGGAGCTTCTCTTATGTGTTTTTTTCATATGCAAACGTTGTGTGATTTGGTTTGTATATTATAAGACTACACAGCTACTATTTTCACAGTTTACACTTAACGACCATTTTTCTTCAACCTAAAATTACTTCCAAACTCTTCAATGACGCTGAAAAGCAATTTTTTAACACTAAAATCTCGACACATACTTATCTCTAATGCAACTGCCCCGGACAACAAAACAAAACCAATGATAACTTCTGTATTAAAAACGACATAAATAAACAGAAGAATTTATTATATAAAGTGGAAAGTTTAAAATCCCCACACATGCAATTCTCTCATATATTTGTACTGAATAACTGAACAAACCAAACCAAGTGAAATTCCTACAAAACGATTTACAGAACAGAGAAGAATTGAGTATGTAAAGTGAAAAGGAACTATTTAACAATTTAAAATCTCTACACATGCTATTTTCTAATACTCAATTTACTATATTGTCTTACAATACTAAATTAGGGACGGCTAGTGCAGATATCCCTCGTGTAGTTTGCGCGAAATTCAACACAAACAAACAAATAACTGTTGGTTACCACAGTTGTATCCAGAGTTTTAAATAATTGCCTCCTTTTCGTTAAAGTCCACAAAGGCAGGTTAAATTATTTTAGAACACCTTTTGACAAGACAAGTTATTCTCCTCTATCTCTCTTATTGCAATACAAGCTGAGAAACTCGCTTTAGAAATCGCCCGTTATGGCTAAACTGATACACAGTCTAACTTCAGTTTCACTTACTTAATTACTTACACTAACTTGGCCACCTATATACATATATATATATATATATATATTGCCTAACTGAGGCCTCGAACTTTCTATAAACTACGAGACATTATCAGCGGCGGTTCTAGAGATAGCAAGGCCCTAGGCGAAAGTCATACATGAGGCCCCTTGACGTGAGAAAAAAAATTCAGATATCAAATGAAATAAAACATCAATATAAGATCACAACAATTTATTGGATGGGTACAATTACAATTTTATTTCATTGTTCTGCATTTGGTAGTGCTAAATTCATCTATAACAGAGGAATAATCTAATTTTGAAGCAAAATTATGTTCAATAGACAGAATAGCCAATGCTTAAGTTAGTCTTTATTAATTTCAATTTTGAAAAAGATCTTTCTGCTGAAGCAACTGTAACCAGAATTGTTAATATAATTATTAATGCTACATAAATATTAGGATAAACTTCAATTAAATTATTGTCTATAATAAATTTTAGTGAATCATGAATGTCTATATTTGGAAGTACAGTCCTGGTGCACATTCTTAGTTCCTCAAATAATAATTATAATTCTTCGCCGTTTATATCGGAGTCGGACGACTCAAACAACGTAAGTAGCACTTGTAGCTCTTTACAACACCGTAAAAGTTTTTCATCGGACTTGTTCTTTAAAGATGAAATAGTATAAAGAAAACCAAAATTGGTGTAGTAGGTTTTTAACCCCGCAAACTGAAGTCCACCACTTGCACGAGTCATGTCGACGATGATATTAAAATATTCAGTTCTGAAAATGTCTGCAGAGTTAGCACTAGTTTTGTCTGGACATTCGTAATCAAAATGTATTTTCTTCTTACATAGCCTAATATCTTTAAAATTCATCGGAATGCCCATATCATTAGCTATTTCATTAGCAGTCATTATAGCAAAGTCAAACCCGTTTCTTGTATAATCATCTAACCAGCAGAGAACTTCCTCAAAATGTTTCAGTGCCATGTCCATCTGCATATTATATTGTTGCCATACTTTACTAATTAGTTTTATTTTCACTAAGATATTGTACCACATTACTAAAGAAAGTATAAACTTGTACGGCAGAATTTATTCTTGTATCGAACTGTATTCACTACAAAATGTTGGATCACTGCTTATTTCTAACAGTTTTGTCTCGAAAATCAGCAATACCTTTTAATTGGTATCGGGAGACCTTCAGACTCTCCACGCTGCAGTCCCATCTGGTTTCAGCCAAAGGCTTGACAGTAATATTTACTTTTTCTTTTAACACAATCCCCCTTTTGGATGAACCAGAAAATAACGAATACAGCCTTTGCAAAACACTAAAATATAATCTAGCCTTTGTATAAGTCGCTCCTGAATCACCAAGCACTAAATTTCAACTGTGACATCCGCAAAGTGTAAAGAAGGCTAAAGGATTAATATTTAGTATTCTTGTTTTTATACCACTTTTTTATCCTCGCACGTTAGCTCCATTATTGTATCCTTGTCCGCGGCAGTTTTTGATGTCCAGTCCTAGGCTGTTGATTTCTGAAAGTACGCAATTTGTTAATTCTTCAGTCGTAGTTATTTCTACTGATATAAATCTGACAAAATGTTCCTCAATGTTTCCCAACTTTTCAGCAACGTGACACAATATCATCGTCATTTGTTCGGTGTGACTTACATAGTGTAGTACAGTCCAGAATTATTGAATAATATTTTGCTTGCTGTATATTTTGAATGATTGCAAGTTTAACATGTTTGACCATCAGTGCTATTAAGTCATTTTGAAAGTCCCCCCCCCAAATAATGATTATGAAGACTATTATCGTTTATGCGTCGTAAATGTTCTAGAAGAACAGGCTCAAACTCAGCAGTAAACTTAACCAGGTCTAAGAAGTTTCCACTTCTGTCCTGTTCTAAAATATTCCTCTGTCCTCTAAATGCCATGCTAAATACTGAATTATTGCCAAGAGTCTTTCCAAAATATCATGCCAGCGTGGCTTATCCTGCTGTATTTGATTTTGAATCGCTGTATCAATAGTCTTCCCGCATTTTCTGATTCCAACCATTTCAAGGCACGCTCTACGTGATCTGAACTGTTCTCATGAGATTTGAGACGACTACTGAGGTTCTTCCAATCATTACAGACGTGAGATACTAACACTACACTTGAGGATGAGAACAGACGACAGGCAAAACAATAAACACTGTTTTTTCTTGGATTGTAAACCAACCGACGCATTTCTTGTTTTTCCTGTTGCTTAGAATTATAATGCAATTGTATGAGAAGAAACGCCTGTTTTATCATCCACTGGGAAAACTACATTTTCTTCTCGAATCTGTCCTTTGAGAATATAATTTACTCTATCTATATCCTGTATTGGGGAATTCCATTCACCGGGATCGTAACTAATAGATTTATTTGTTTCGTTAAGATCATCGGATTTTAATGTATTAACGTTAACAGAATCTTGCTGATTTTTTGTAGACACTTCATCAGATGTATCTACCAGAGCATTATTATACTCACAGTGAACCGATGTGCTTTGAGAACCTTCTCCCTGGGCCAAACCATTTCACGCATCT